ACACACACACACATACATGCAAATTCAAGCTGTTGCCAAGCATGAGCTCATCCCTTTTAAGGACATACGGTTACGAGACGACACATTGCTTTTAAAAAAGAAGTCAAAAGACAGTTAAGCAGATAGATATTGATCCCAGTAATAATTTATGTGGATGTGTACCAGTTATCTCAGGACAAAATACTCCTTAATGATGCAGCATTGAGGTTTATACTTTGAAACAGCAACATAATGATAAAAGATCAAAGTAAATCAAAGATTATTAGCAGATTTATTGATTAAGTGAGCTCATTTTAGAGACGTTGAAGCGGTTTAACGTTTTCAAAGGGAATATGGTGCCCCTTAGCACTGTCCTCACATATGTTATATTTTATTGGCGTGCAAGTCAAAAATCTTCTGTATGTATTACAGGAAGTGATTGATATCTCTTTTATATTTCTGAGAACTCATTCACGCCTGCATGTTTCTGACAAGGTGTGGGTGGGGGATGGTGGTGCAAGGCTCTTCCCTATCCTAGCAGCAAATGTGCAATATGCTTGCAACAACAGAAACTTCGCAAATAGAATAGAGACGGGCCTGTGTCCTCCGTTGTCACGACAACCCAAACCTCAGAGTCACACCAAGTGAAATAAGAGGAAGTGGGGGATGGGCGGTGCACACAAACCGAGAAAAGATGTCCTTGTGAGAAAAAAAGAAAGAAGAAAAGGCAAGCAGACAGTAATGTAGCAGATTGCTGCAAATGGTTGTGAATGCAAGAATTGACAAAAGCTTAATTTGCTGCAGGGAATCAGAAACTAACAGTATTAACACATGCACTCACACACAAATAACGGTTGTATTTTGGAGGGATAATGAGTTCACGTGTGTCTTGTCCAAGAACACAAGGAGTGACCCTCTGCAGCAAGCCAGCATGACTGTGCATCCTGCAGATTATCTCAGCACTGTTGCGCTACAGGATGTGCTTGCATCAGACATCTATTCCTGTGCAACATGGGATTATATCCAAAGTGATCTCCTCCAGTACTTAAGGTGATATAGATAGCGTCAAGGTGCCAAAAACAAGCGCAGCATCTAATGACACAGTAGGTATTATCCTCCCAGGGGAACTTCTTAGGACTGATTAAATTATGTTTTACCTATGATGACTGATCTCAGACAGGCAGTCTGTCTTCTTCTGTTGTGTAATGGCAGCTGTGAATGTAGCTTTCATTTCTAAATGATTGCCACTGAGTATTGCAATTGTTTATCCAATCAGAAAATGCCCTTAAGCGTTTGAACAGTTACAACGTTTGGCGGCAACTGGAAGCAAATATATGCACACACATACGCACATACCACAAAAAGCCCCCAATCCTGTTTCTGTCCAGTCAAAAGTCAAACTTTCTCATTACATCATGGCTGTGGGTTCGTTAGCGAGTCACCAAATGGGAGATAAAACTTCTGCAGGGCTCCTAAAGATAGAAATAAAAAGTTACACGATGTGCATGCACTTTTTTTAAAGACTATATGCAGTGATGTACTCACATCTTTTAAGGTACCAAAATACTTTGTCCAACATTCAAGATTTCACTTCAGTAAAAGCTGCTGATGTATTAACAGCAAAAAGTACTTGTTGGGTAGAATGGTCTCTTTCAGAAAGTTACTGTATATAATTATATACAACATATAATTTCAATATTGCGCATGCTTTAACATGTAAGTAGTATATAAATAAGCACTATCATATTTTATAAACTGATCCTGTGTTTTGTTTGTTACTGTGACTATAGCTGTCACATAAATGTAGCCCATTGTACAATATTGCCCTCAGATGTAGAGTAGACGTATTGTAGACAATGGAACTAATCAAGTAAAGTAAAAGTACCTCAAAATTGTACGTTGTAAGTACAGTACTAGAGTAAATGTACTTAGTTACTTTCCACCAACCACTGCAACCTGCAATCCAGAGTTGAATGCAAGAAGAATCAGAACTTCAGACTTGTTCGGTGCTGCCACATAGTGGATGTTAGTGGAAGTGACTCTTGCAGCTCTAGCCTGGACTAGAGAAGATTTTCAAAATAAAACTGACAGTTTTACAGATACATATAATTAAATTTTTGGGGTTAATATTCTTTATTTGGATCCCCATTTGCTTTCACAAAGTGATTGCTAGTCCAGCATGCATGTAAGTATATGTGAATTAGCCGACAACTATTTAACTATCTAATTAATTACTAATTAGCTAACAAAAAAAAACATGTTTTAACCAGCAGGAATCAGGTGTATACTTTTATTTACATTACATTTATTACATTATTTGCATAATATACATATAGGTGAGAGGAAACAGTGTACAGTGCACTTAGATGATTAGCTGGCAAGAGGCTGAAGTAGAAAAAAGAAATACAGTTCAGAGTTCAAATGTCTGCAAGAGAGGAAGGAAACACTTCAGTATCACAAGTGAAATAATTGTGACAACATACCACAAGAGACAGTTTAACCATATCAATTAATAGTCCCCTAGTCTGTAAACTGTTCTCGGTCACAATTCATGGAAACTTTGCAATCAAAAGTAAAAACAACTGATTGATCAGTCATCGGTAAAACATTTTTTATTTCAGAAATCAAAAAATACATCAGTTATGAGATGTTGAGATGATAAATTTAGAACAATAGGAGGATCTATTGGCAGTTACATCTTATGTATTTGATAATCATCACAGTAGTGTAAAATTAAAGAGTTTTTATCCTGTAGTCTACACGGAGAGTGCACTGGATACCAGCACTGATATGATGAGTAGCACAGAGCTAACCACAGCAACATGGCTCCCAGAGTAATACACCTGCCGTCCATTCAAGGCCTGCACTGGTCTGTAGGTATTAACCATCTCCTTTCCATTTGGAAACTGAAGCTGGGAGAACGCAGCAAGCTGGAAAAAGTCAAAAAAAGCACTCAATAATGATAATGAAACCATGTGGATGTGGTGAGTTTTGAGTTTTTAGTAACTTAAGTGTGTTTTTTAAAACTTTTAACTCTTTATATAACACTAGCTGTGTAGAACTTTATATATCCTATGAAAACAATGACTTTTTATGGACAACACTGCAGTGGACATCTTGTTTATTCAAGGGAGAAGCTGCTTTCACTACAAACAATGGGACGTGCCGGCATTTTCCACCCCATACCTGAGGAGCTGAGGAGGAGGCGCCGAGGCTGCAGAGCCGGAGCGAAGGTGAAGGCTAGGCTAGCGGCTAAGCGGTGGAAGTACAAGCCCTCGGTTCCGTCGATAGTGATGGGGAATGTGAACTGTCCAACAAGACGGACGAGCTGGCTGCCCTTGTGAGGACGGACAGGACGTTCAGGGAGTGCAGTTTACTTTGCCTCTGGATTCACTACAGTGAGAGCGGACCGGGACTGTGGACGCAGCGGCAAAAGCAAAGGAGGGGGACTCGCACTGTTTATCAACAACAGATGGTGCAACCAGGGGCATGTTACGGTGAAGGAGATCGTGTGCAACAGAGACATCGAGTTGCTGGCGGTAGGTCTCAGACCGTACTACATGCCTAGAGAGTTCTCCCACGCCATTGCTGTTGTTGTTTACGTCGCAGAGACCGTGTGTGATGTCATACACTCCACCATCGCGAGACTGCAAACACAACATCCAGACGCATTCATCGCCATCTCCGGGGATTTCAACCACGTCACACTGGA